TACATGATACCACAGCAAATATTCATGTACAAATCAGTGGTGTTTGCAAGTGCCTTGTGGAATACACTCACACAATTCTTTACAGCTTTTAAAGTCATGCCCTTTTAGCTTTACTTACTTGCTTGTTTCTGTAATTTAATTCCTAGCTGAAGATCTCATTTCCTTCCCACTGTTACACTCAATTTTGTACTGTTTGTTTGTTGGTAAATTACCTGGGGACTTTATGGTTGAACTTAAAGCATCATCTATCGCTGGCTCCCAAGACATTTCAGCTACATTTATCAGAGATGAGACTGGAATCTTTTATCCATACTGAGGACGTTTTGGGCACAGCCAAAACTAATTCAGTTTCAGAGAAACAGCAGCAGTGTGAACTTTGGAAAGATGAGGGGAGGCATGGTGTTTTTCCTCAGAGGTTTAGCATCCATGCAAAGACAGAAAAACTGCACACACGGAGATACAAACTGCTTGCAAATTAAAATCAAGCAAACCCAGCACTGACAGACACACAAATCCAACTGAACAACTGARCTGTTAAACTAYGGCATGGGCTGGAGCCATGCTGACRGGGGATATGAAAGTCTTCCACCTACCACTCTGAATATATAAAATAAAATTATAAATACAGGGAATATGAGCACTTTCAGGTGGCCAGGAAAAAGGAAAAGCTCTTCACCCATTAAGCAAGCCATTGAAATACACAGGACGGACAGAAGCAATGACCAAATGACAGAGCTATAATCGTGGAATTACTAAAACATTTCAGGTGGCTGAGAACAGAATTGTCGTAATTTTTCACTCTCTCAGCTACCAAGACTAATTTGTTGTTTGCTTTTTTAAAAAATGAATGCATAAATCAACAATTTTAATTACACAACAACATGATAGATGTTGTTCCTATGTCAAGGGGAGATAAACAGCTAGAATGCTGGAAATATAACCTATAGTCTTATTTTATAATCAATACTGTGTGACTAAATATGAAAGKAAAAAAACAAAAGAAGGCATTTTCAGAAAGCTAATGGGAATCAAATGCCTGTATGTCCTTAGAGTTACTCTGAAGCCACGTACCAGGCTTCTTTGAAAATTTCTAAACAAGATCTCAACACATCCAACCCTAAAATCTAAAAGATTAGACAGCAGTAGAGTGGTAAATACAAAAATGTGCAAATTCACTCATTTATTAATCCAGGATGGTAATTCAAAAGACATAATTCTGCCTTTACCCTCAGACACACAACCAAATGTATGTCATTGTTAAGTCTGGAAGAAAAAAAAGTGATTTCTCATTCAAATTCATTCAATAGCACAACCATAAAAATTTCCATAATTCCTGCCCTTTGATTTGTATCTCAGTGCCTTCGCATCTTTTCAAAAGGCGTGGATAATGGACAGAAAGGCTACAAGCAGTGATTAATGTACTGCACCTYTTAATAAGCCATCTCAGCAGTTAATTGTCAGAGACATTAATTTGTTTTCTGGTTTGAACTTTTCTGACTTCCATCCWTTGGATCTTGTCATATTTCTGTGTACTAGAATAAAGATTTAGTTAAGTACTTCTATTCCTGACATTTCTAAGCCATAACCTTTTCCAGATAAGATACATGACTGAGCTCCTTAAGTTTTCTATCATCATGGTTATTTTCTAGACAACAAATAATTCACCCTGARCTCCCTCCAATTTTCAGCACACTTTTTAAAGGGTTTGCCACCCAATGAACCTGCCAGTTGATAAGTGATAATCTCTTTTGAAAATTTGTCTCCAGTTGCTGGAGTGGAGCATTTTGGTGAACAAATCTCATAYTGTGCTAGTTTTGKCTGKGATAGAATTAAATTCTGTCACAGCAGCCAGTATGGGGCTGTGCTTTGGATTTGTGCTGGAATCAGTGCTGGTAACATGGGGATGTTTTGGTTATTGCTGASCTGAGCTCACACAGAGCTGAGCCCTTTTCTGTCCCTCACCCCACCCCAACAGGGAGGGGCTGGGGGGCACAGGGAATGGGAGGGGACAGAGTGGGACAGCTGACCCCAAGTGACCCAAGGGATATCCCAGACCRTGTGGGGTCACGCAGCACACAGAGCTCAAAAAGAAGGACATTCTGGGGACATTCCCAGTGATGGAGTTTGGCTTCCCACATCACTGTCACACGTGGTGGGGCCAGCTCTCCTGGGGATGGAGGAACACCTGACCAACCATGGGAAGGGGGGAATAAAGTCCTTTTCTGCTTTCCTTGTGTGCACRGCTTTTGCTTCATCTGTTAAACTGATCTGATCAACCCACAAGTTTTCTCACTTTCACTCTTCTGATTCTCTCTCCCCAAGGTATACAATCAAAGGTGAAAAATAAAAATGCATCCAGTCCATTTTAACAAAAAGAAATACCATTTGTCTGAAGAAGCAAGTCTTCATTCAAAATGAAAGCTTTCAAAATTTGACCTCTATGATCAAGCATACAGTGAAGCCAGCTGCAGTCCTGGTAACAAGAGACTGGGGGAAACAGAACAGGGAGTGGYGCTGCTCCATCTTCTGGAAATACTATTTTCCATGAGAAAAGTAAATTAATGCGTGCCCCATAAGTATCTCTGATACAGCCCTTAACTCCTTCAGCTTCCAACACAGCTTTTTAAAACATTTCTAAATACAACAATCATCAGAAAAAAATCCTAAGAAGACTTTTAAATGAAATAACCAAAATTATTTTGCATGGATTCAGTCCTTTAGCACACTCTTTCCTTGAGGGCATACAAWCAACATCAAACAAGCAAACCTTACRTCAGCATACCTTACAACAGGATACTGCTTTGGTGGGTGTGCACATACTAAAGTCCTGTTGCCAGCTCTTAGATGACCACATTGATGGAGGCTTCTAGTTTCTTTGGATTACAGCCAGCACTGCTACAGGCATCCTAAAGGCACTGTTAGTACTAAGAACAGCAGCAAAGGTGGCAATTTTTCAGTTTGACAGATGCTAAATACCACTGAACTTCACTATAATTCCATTTTTGCTGTAGCTATTGCCCAACACTCCTTAAATGACCTTCAGTAAGRTAATTTTAATAAATGGCCTTTCAGSCATTCCAGCTGAAWGRTATATGGACARCTTCCCTTCAACAGRAAAAAAACCACACGTAAGAGAAAAGGAAGTATGTACCCACTACAGTATCCTAAGAGCAGCACTGGGATATACCACTGAGTCCCCTCTTATCCCCAGGTGCTTTACCATTTTCTTATCTCATTTCCCCTGTAAAATATTCACATTACAGAGATGTTAATATTTAGGATGAGACAAACCAATACGAAGTTCACTAGGCTCTTAGTGGAAGCATKCTACGAAGCCACAGAGCAAGGGAACAAGTTTTAGTACTCACTGTGGCACGTAACTATTCTTTTTAGTCAAATTTCAGAGATGAGAGAGTATCAAGGAAATTAAAAGYTTGTTTTAAATCAAAGGAATTGCCAGACTATCTCCTGGACACGAAAGAAAATCTACATGTCCCAGACACAGGTATCTCCTGGCAGGCTTCAAAATGGCAGCCTGGCTACAAATTGATATTCTCAACCCAAATGAATTTCTCTCCTGGACGCAGCCAAACCAGCATCCCAAACAAGCCATATTTATTAATCAGAGTCAATGTGGAGCATTTTGAACATCCTTTAAAAAGCACAGTTTCGAATTCCCATCTGTCATGTAAACTTTTAAAAAAAACTTTAAACACTGCTATATTGCAATTCATGGATCATGTCTGAAGAAAAAGGACAGAAACAGTTAACTGCATTTCCTTCAGAAACAACATTCATTACTTTTAGCATATTCACATTACTTTTAGCATATTCACATTCAAGTTATATACAAAGGTTAGTCTCCAAACAGATGCAGTTACTCAGCATTTTGCCAGTGGGGCTATGAATATACCCTTAACCTAAAACAAGTGCACATAAATTGTTATCAATTAAATGGGCACACTCCACAAACACGTCACAAACTTACAACTTCAGACCCAAACCAGGTCTGTGATTTTTGCACAGTAATCAAACCAATTCTTAATCTTTTCACAGGAAGATCACTTTCTTTTCAAAGAGGAACGAAATTCAAAGCATCTTCTATACTAAATACATACATACATGCACTTGTTAAATCCTTCACTGCAGATTCTGCAAAAAGTTCTACCGAAATTAAAACCTCAGTATCAACAAGAAAGTAAAATACTCCTCCCCATAACCACGTAACTACTGCTCAGGTAAACAAAGCAAATTAACTAAGAGACAGGTAATCTAATTAATTACCTGACATATGAGCTGCCCCAAGTAAATGAACTGTTTGACAACACTGACACCAAGTGACAGAATTCAGGAAAATACAAACCCAGGAAAATACAGCAACTCCCACAGAATGTTACCTTTTACCCTCATGCTCTGAAAGAGGAAACGTCTTATTTTATAAGAAGAAAATAGTTGTGAATACCCACAATGAAAGCTGATATTTTCACATAAGCTATATATAAGTGACAGAATATCCAACATTAACCACATGGTAACAATTCAATTTAACCTTGATCCTTCAAGCACAAGTCAAAGACCATGAACACTTCAAAGTTTTATGCAAACTAACCTCATAAAATCATTTCTAAAGAAGAAAAAAAGTGGTCTGCATACACAGTGAGTATTGGATTCCATTAACTGACGTGCATTTGGTTCATTTGTCAGGCACAAGAATGCAAATAGTACTTCTATAAACTTCAATGTACAAAATTATGTGTAAATGCAATGTTTAATAGTCTGGTAAGTCTCACTTATTTGTTTTGCCTATGCTCCTCTCTGCTGAGAGAACAAAACCCAGGCTGTCTGGGTAGACTTGGCCCCCCCCTGCTACCTCACCTGACATTGCACAGAACACAAAACCCAACTGACAGAACAATAACTCCCTCAAACACAACGGTTTTACCACCCCCCCCATGTCTATGGGCAGCATTCTGTCTTCTTACAAGCTTCGCTGTTCTTACCTGCTGACGTTTATATGCCAAATAATCAAGATTTTCCAGATCTTTTCGAAACTTTTGGTAGGTTTTCTGTAGATCAGATTTACTGGATACATTTCTTAAAGATTCAAATGTTCTTTGAAACTGTGATGGAAAAAGAAAAATTATCATTCACACAGTTGCTGTGTTTCACTCTGTGTTATAATTTTATTCTACTAAATGCTAATGCTATTGAGCTGTGTCACCTCTAGCCTTCCACATAGTCCTACAGTTTTATTTTGAAACCAGTCACAGAATTCAAAGCATTGTACACATGCCCTGCTCAATTAAATGAAGTCCTCTAACTTCATAGGTCAGAAATAATACTAGCAATCAAAACAATCTCTAAAGGTGAGTTCTTTTTCTATGCCAAGTTACAGAAACTAATATTCACATAGATTTAAACACTTTCTTTTCAACTAASRAARGTGTATGCAACTATATACARGCCAKGAACTCATTCTATCAAGCATAACAGTAGAACTTAGAAATCAYRGGGTGCTTCTTATCAAGTTAATTTRCTTAAGAGTGATTTAAGACCAGATAATCAACTTGGGCAATATGCTCACATTCTACAGGAAAACTGGGACAATTCCAATTATACTTTGTTATAGACCTTATTTTTAAATTTAAAACTTCTCCCATGCATACACAATTATTAAAAGTAGCACTGRTATTTTTCAGAAATGCGCAATGTCAGTCCAGCTGTAGGAATTGCAACAGAAAGGCTAAGGTTTGTGTGAGAGGAGAATGGGAGGTCCAGCTTCCTTGCTACCTTAAGGAAATCATGAACCTTCTCCTCTGACTTGTTCTATTTACCCATGTGTAATTATTCTTCACACCTCATCAGCATGTGACAGCCGCAAAGCTGGAAGCATTTCAGTAATATTTTGTTATCGTTGTGATTATCATCATAAGCAAGTCTAGAAACATGTATTTTCACTGATATAATCAGGAAGAACTACAGCTTGTAAATCCTTACAAAATATTGACATGGCCTTGCGGATGAAGTACCTGCTTTAAGCTCACATGTGATACCTACCAGTACTAAGTACAGTACACATTTCTCTATACCTTTGTTCAAACTACAGCCACAGAATTGGAAAAATTAACCACGGGAGTAGAAGCAGAAAAAAAGCCAAACCTCCACTCATCTTCAGTCTGTCTTAAAGAAGCTGACAACACTGACAGCCAATGCTRCACATGGATGTGGAGTGCTCCAGTGCCTCACTTTTCTGAGCATTTGATCAAGCTCAAGCCCAAACTGTGTATGCTGCTCAACAAAACCCAGGTAACTCTCACTGGGGATAATAAGCAGCTGCAGAGGATTTCCACTGACAATTTATAACAACTTACCTGGAAMCTTCAGGCAAGTTAGCATTTCTTGTTTGCCACGCTGCAGCCTTTATTTCAGTCTCACTGCTCCCATAACCAAAAAGCAAGATAGGGCAGTACTTATATCCATTTGTAATTTATCTTACTGTACCTGATTCAGCACCATTAGGGGTTAATTGGAGACTCTCTAGTTGCWTTTGAAATGTTTGCTACCAAAAACTAAAATAAAACTTTCTCACCCAAAGTATACATTCCTGGCAGACAGAACACACATGCTAAGGCAAAACTGCAATACCCTCTATTCTTTTCCATCTGACTTCATTATCTTCCATTTTTGTATGATTTGTCATTTTCAGATTTTACCACCGCTCCAGAGCTGTGATCAAAGCCTTCCCTTTGCAATGCTTACTTTCATCAATTCCCACTCCTGGCTAACCCCTTAGCCAAAAGCAACTTAATTACAACATTGCAAATGGGACCTGAGTATGGTTTAAGGTGATCAAAAGCACTCCACAGTGCTCATATTTTTAAAGTGTGTAAGAAGCTGCTTATAATGTATTTATCAAGTTCATTACGTATTTCTGCTCCAAACCATGACATGTTTCTCCAGAACTTAGCCCAAAGTTGTGGGATTGAATAATACAGGCATACAGTCTCTAATGATTCCCAAACTCACTAAATRAACATAAGGTAATGTCTTTTCTTGAGGAATCTTCTCTTTTTTTAAATAATCATCAACATGTTAGACTACAATAGAGCTGTAGAATCATCATCATCCTTTTAAGGATGTACTTAATCCCAGAGATTCAATTCTTCATTGGCAGGAGCTCTGCAAGCAAGATCACTCACTTCCTTATGGCCTGAAGCAACCTAAACATTAATGATGCATTTATCCCTCTGGAAAGAGATATAAGAATCAGCATGAGAGTAGGAGCAAATACAAACCAAATCTATAACTATAAGGGCAACATGCTTCAATAAAATAGATGGGTAATTGCCAGAACATCCACATCTGTCTTTAGATGCAAGGGAAAAACACTTCTTAAAAATTTAACTCAAAAGTAAATAAAAAACCAACCAAACAATTTTAAGAAAACATAGTTAAGCCTTTTCCACTACCATCAACAGGAAATCAGAACAATGTGTTTTGGATATACAAAGGTTATCAGCATATGCCTTAAACTTAAAACTACATCTGGATCTTCCTGCATCATACTTCTATGAGTGTGAACCACCATTTTGGGGTGAATGGTAAAAAACCTCTCTCATAACCTCTCTCATTTCTCTTGTCTAAAGGTGAAAAGTATTAGTACTCCTGGCCTTTTTTTTTTTTTTTTGTCTCACCAATAACCAAACATAAATAATCACAAGAGATTCACAGAAGCTTTCATGCCTGTCACTTTTTCAAAGTGCTTTGAACAGTTTCTGGAAGCTGAGGAGTAGCATTCCTTTACTACTTTTGGCACTACTGGGTAACCACCTGGAGTGATTTTCCTTCTGTAATAAAATCATATCTCTGTGATTTCATCAGAGCTGCTTGAGTTTGTCAAGTTACCATAGATAACTTCATAGCACAGATACTGCATAGAAAATTCCACAGCTTAAACAGAAGAACATGACTTCACATTCACTTCACATTCACAATATTACAGCATTCCTTTCACAAAAAAAAAAAAAAAAAAAAAAAAAAATCCAAACTCAACAACTGTAGAGGTTGAGCCCAGCACCCTGGCTCTAAAACACACAGGGTGGATAACACAGCAGCCCCAGTGTCCTGAGCATGCACCATCAAGACATGACTGAATGAATGCTCTGTGCTCATCTGACTGGAAATCAAAACACAGTGGATGTTTTCACTAAGTGAAGGAACTCTCAGGCCCCTTTTTTAGGGATCACAAAGCAACAAATASCATCAAGACAAAGTGATGAAGACCACAAATGTGGACAGGTGAGAAGAGTGTTATTAACACAGCCTCTTTGGAAGTATGATGTTCCTGATTAGTGTAGGGTAAAGTCCGACACACTCCTCTCCAATAATGACCATGGTTTATCTAATTAGTCAGTATGACTGTAAGCATCAGGACTGAATTTCCTATGGTCTCACACCTTACACATTGCAATGTCAGAGAGGTGAGCTCTGACTGAAGTTTCTCCTGCAGTAAAGCAGCTTAACAACTGAGAATCCTCTGCTATCTTTATGAGCTCCTGACAGAGCTTTTTGAGTTTTTTCTCTTCTACCCTTCTATCTACTTCCAAGAGCCTTGGAACTTCTGCTCTGTCACCGTATGCAATGTAAATGAGGCAAGGAGATCAAAGAGAAGAGGCTAAGACAGAGTGGCTGCACATTTCAAAATCAAATTATATTAAACTAACCTATCATAGTAAAATTTTGATACTACTTAAGCCAAAATTTACTGTTTCATCTTCAACATAAGGTATGAAAATTAGTGCCTTCCCAGCTAAACAGGAAGCCAGGACACAAAATCATGAGATTATAAACATGCAGTGCCAAACTGCTTCATTGCTTGCAATTCAGAAATGTTGGAGAAGACATCATTAAACACAGAGTACAAAGTCATATTCCTGGTAACAAMCTTACAATTTCCATATGAACCGGAAGAGGGATGGGGGGCAGCAGATCCTGCTTCCCCAGTTTGTGCATGGTGCTACTGGACAAACCACACACCTTTAATGTCACTTGCCTGACAATCTAGTTAAGTTATAAGGATGACGTTATCAAAGGGCCTGCTATACTTCCTTCAGTTTCCTTCTACACAGGCAGTTCAGATTTCGGGCCAGTGMTGTGAAAAGCCATTCTGTTATCCACGAATTAGGAGAAAGGGCTCTTTTTTGTTTGTCTAAAGCTGCACAGGTGAAAGAATATTTGTATTTCAGAGTATCAATATTGTCATTTTCCACCATGCAGGGCAGCACAGTAGCACTGAACTATTTTTTTCCATTGGTAAAATATTTCTTCTATTTTTCTATAGATTAATATGAGTTGAATAAAGGACAAGAATCAAATTTTAGTTCCATTCTGACATAAGGAAGTTGCCCATTGAAAAATACCTTCCTGTTTTAGTAAGGTACTGGTTCTTTTAAAGACTAAATTATACCCAATGTACTGTTTTAAATTATCCAGAGATATGGTTGGAAAAAACCATACACAACCTCTCTTAAATTCCAATTACTGAGCACTCATACTTAGGAGAAAAAAGCTGCTCTTCCCATATTTTGCTGTAATGGAATGGGCAATGTGCCTTTGGAGAGGTTTATGGAGAGWAGTTCCCATAGCTTTTTCCATTCAGCAAATGTCAGATGATTCTGCTGTCATTTTAAGAAGGTCTGAAGACGTGCATTCTGATGGTAAAGCAGATATTGTTTGCTTTGCATGCATTTCCTCATTTCTGCCTCTCAAAACATGAACGAGTTRTAAAATAAATTTCTCCAGATTAGAATGATAGCTGCATGCTTGAATTGTTGATCAGGCAAGCCATTCTACATTACACTGACTTTGTTACTGTATTACCARTAAATAACATGCCAAGGGAAGATGATTTCCCAAGATTATTTTTCCAGTCTAGAATTTGCCTTCCCATATTAGCACTCTATTATTAGAGGGAAATTTCAGAACGTCACTTCCATATTATTCTTGCACTTCAGTGGTAAGTGTGTGTTGCTGTAGATGCTGAACACAGTAACAAACACTCCAAAGGGAAGCCTTTAGCAATGTTCTTTCCCTGACAGGTTCAAAGAGAGTTGACTGCAATGGARTCCTGGTCACTGACTGGAGCATGCAGGCATCTGCAGAGTCCAAACAATTATTTCAGATAGGCCTCTGCTTTTCTAATATTCCACCTTCCAATTTTCCCAAAATAATTTTCCAACTTCATCACCAGACACAAGGTGGATTTCTTACACTCAGTTGTATTTCTGATGATGTGAAGCACTCTGTCAACTTCTGCTACAAACCACTTTTATAATATAGATCTCCCCAAGGTTTTTGTTTACAACTTAACTTACTCCATTTGGAATAATCACCCCACATTTTGACAATTATTTATTTTTACAAGCACAAACGAGCAGTCAAAAGGCCCCCATACCAAGCACAGAAGTGGATCCAGATTCCTGTTGCTCTCAAAAGGATGCTCACTTTGRAAAAGCCAATTCCTAAAAGCAATTCTTTGGAGGCTGCTTTTCCTCTGTGATTTACTCACACCACAGAATGTCATGGAATTTGCAGAGTGTGATGATAAATGCTGTAACCCTGATCCCAAACAACTGCACCCCACATACCGTAGACCAACCTCTGACTGGTAGCAAGAATGCATTTCTGATTGCTGAGAAAATAAATAGGAGTACAAAGCAGAGAAGATAAATCTTCTCTCAGAGACTCTTGTCCCTTTCCTAATACTCATTAAGTTCCAAGAGTTCCCTTGGCATTGAGTGACCCATCCCCAACAAAGGGAAGGTAGGAAGAAGTTAGAAGTTAGAAATTTTGCCATTCTATTTTTTTTCTTTTTCCCTGGCAAGAGTGTTAAATAACTTCAAGCAAGCATTTTATAAAGATCATGCAGTCTGAGGCACTCATGAAAAATATGAAGACTTACACAGTAAATCTACAAGCATGACAAGAAGGGGAGAAAGGCAGATRAAACACATTGGCTCAGCATGATCTGAAACCAATTAGGGAAAGACAGACTGCCAATGATCTTTGAATGAAATTCTCCAAACTTGTTACTTTCCTGCTGTTCTCTCCTGATCAATAAATTCAAGCAATTCCATTAGTCTCTTAATTCACTTAATTAAATAATATCGAGCATTACTAACCATAATGGATGAGCTGCTAACATAGCTCTGAATGAGAGAGTGCAATACACAAGGATAGCCTTATGTCTGACATTTTTCACAACTCAGTTTTTTATTAGAGACTTCAAGCTCTTTAGGCAGGGAAACTCAGATACAGAAAGCTATTTATTTAAGCTCTTCCCTGTGTAAAAAAAGTTGTTTAAAAAGGCAAAACCTTTCTTTTTAGGTTTGATGCACTTTATTTTCYCCATGAACTCTATAAGGATCTTGCTGTTTGCATTGCACCCTCACACTCTTGTAGGACTGTGAATTTCCCAAGGGGCCAGAAATGTTCTGTGCCAGAATGCGATCAGTGACTGAGAGTTTGTATTGGCATCTAGTATGCATCATCTACACACGTGTTTATTCACACTTTGTGTGGTGAAGATTTGGCAGAATTCATAAAATAATCAAAATTCTCTCCACTTTATTACCAACATTTCTAAAAAAGCTAATTTCCTGTTYACAAAGGTAGGGTTTTGATTATTTGGTTTGAAATTCCTGCCAGGATTATCAAATCCTTTCAAACTGACTAACCTGTTATTTCTAGTTTTAAAAAGTCRCATTTCAGTATTTTTGTGAAAATGTTGAGTGCTTTCAGCCTCATACTCTGTTTACTATAAAGACTTTAATCMCCCAGAATTAAAAAAACAATCCTAAATCTAAGCAAAATGTACAGAAGACTGTATTAGAGACTAAATAAACTGGAAGGAGGTAGCTGAAGTTCATCCTTTTTTCCTCTATATACTTCAGCAGGCAGTTGTGACAGATAACACTGGAAGARGCTTTCTATGGCAGCCATTCACATTGTCTTTGTTTTCTTTCTATTTTTATGCCCAGATTACCAAAGAAATTAAAGTTTAATGATTCAGAGTGTATTCTGTCAGTAGAAGTAGGTATAGTTTCAAGTGTTTTAAATGTCAGTGTTGGAATTAACTGATTTTAGTGAGTGATCAAGATTAAAACTTTCAGCACTCTTTGATAAATGGGTTTGAAAAATATTAGATACTTAAATTGGTSATTTCCTATTAAATACTTCCATACTGAGCTAGATCTCACTTATACTGTGCAGAGTTCTTTGATGATGCTGAACGAACTTCTTGCATTTTTATGCATACAAAAAAAAGGCCCTTGATTAGAATTTTTATGTCTTTTATTCAATTAATTTTTTTATTTTTAAAATTAATTTTGGCTTAGACCTTTTTAATGTCTTCATTCTACCCTAGGAAAATTATAGAGCTTGGAGATATGGAAATAAAGAGCAATTAAATTTCTCATCTCTTAAAATGATAACAGCTGTAACACTCATGTCTGGCGAAGAGAATAATATGGTAGAAGTATTAAGGGTTTAGAATAAGTACAAAGAAAAACAGCTAATGACTTTTAAAGAGTTGATTTGCAAGGCATATGAATATGCAAAAATCAAGTACGTTAGAGCTSATACAGAGACATGGTTCTACTTTCACACTGCCTTTTTGTGGGAGAAAGTTCATGTTGAAGAAAAATTGAATTCCTAAGGGCGTTTTAAAGTATAATGATTTAAGTTAAAGATTTAGAATAGAGCAAAGTTGAAATTTACTAAAATGTTTAATTGCATTTAAATCTGGCTCAGTTAGCTGTGACCAAAAGWTGTTAGAAACTGAGGGATGTTCAATAGCATATGTTGAAATCACACTAACTSGATTTCCTCATTAGATGTCAATATAAAAGACACCATTACAGCTAATATCACTGTTGGCAAGTTCACCAGCCAGGGCAGAGATGAAATAAATATGCAAGATGTAACACTCTCCTCTAAGAACTAGAGTGTCTTATGCATAGGCATTATGGACAGTGTTATTCCACACTAATTTATTCTAAGGGTTCATCTATGAATTCAGTTCTCACTCCCATTGAGAGGAAGTGTRGAAGAAGATAAAAATTTAGCGGCAATCTCTGCAGTGCTGGAGTTTTTCCTGACTGATACTTTGCATTCCTTCATCATTTTCAGTTATTGTTTGTTTTCATTATCAGGCAGAAAACATAAAGTGAATTAGACAGTTGTTTAGAAATACTGAAACTGTAGCAAGGAAAACCACCTAATTTTAGTTCTCTCATGTAAACATACATAATATATCTCAGAAGAGAGCACCTAGGATTATAAAAGTAAGTACTAAAAATGTAATAGACTACCATGGGAAATCATAATTTGAGAAAATTTTCCACAAACAGCACAGCAGACGTAGGCCACTCCTCTTAGAGATGACAAATTTAAACATATAGAATAACATGGAAGCTTCTGCAAATCAGTGTTAATTTAGCTTGTGGTTCTTCTCTAACAGTTGTCAGTGTGGATCTTTCAAACCCAGATAATTTGTGGTTTTATCAGTCTTTTATAAATTAATGAAGGTATTAGGGGAAAAAAAGGAACCAAGAGTAGAACAATTCCTTGCTCTTCCCAGCAAAGACACACACCAGGTGGAATGGAGTGAACAGCCAGAGAAGAAATTCAGTCAACACATTTTTATAGTCAGATGCAAGATAATAAACACAGTGTTCAAAGAGGAAGGAAGCCTGCTCACATGGTACACTATGGCTGACACTAAAGTAACCCAAGTTTATGTAGACAGGAAAGAATTTTCATGTTGAGCAATGAAAGTGGGGACATTTGCCTAATTCAGCAGTAGTGGCACAAMCACTGGTGTATTTTATATGGAATAGAAGAATGAAGGCATCTGCTCCACATAAAGGTGGAAAAAATATGACCCAAAACAGCACTGTTGTGATACATAGTTCTGAAACATATTACTCCTTAGAGTGAAAAAATTAAGTGGCTTTTAGTGAATACTTACTACTGCACAAATTTTAAAGCTGAGCCAACATTAGGGCTCTCTAGTCTTCTCTCTGCAGTATACAAATATATAGCTGGAGCTATAAGGACTCACCAGATGTACCTCACCCATCTTCTCTCTCCACTCAGCTGATCTGTCACACAGTGAATTGAACACAGACAGACCCTTACATACTCAGCTCTTTTCCTCTGTAAATACCCAAATAAAATCCACCTTTAAGGTATCCTAAAATTATAATAAAATACATATTTTACAAATAAATACAAATGAATTATTCCCTAATTCTGCTGCAAATAWCAAGAAGGCTTCATGCACAAAATGCTATACAATAAGAAAATAGGAAATAAGAAAGAAAAGGAAGTTAAAATGTAGCTGTACAGATAACTACCTGCTTCTTCAGATTGAGTATGTTGAGCTGCAAGATGACTTTACTCGGTCCATTCTACAAATCTCATCTAGAACCTACACTTGCCCCAGCTGCCAAGGTATTATGTGCATGAGACCTACAAGCCTCAAGTAGAGAAAGTTTTTTCTGCTGAAAGAGCCCTGAGCAGACACACCTGTGGCTAACAGGAGCCAGCAGAGGTGGGCAGAGCATTACTCACCACATTCAAGTGCTGCAGCAGATAGGCCACATCCACCATGTCGGCCAGAATGAGGAGCCTGGTGACAGCTGCCAGCAGGGAGCGAGCTGCTGGGACAACAGCCTGCCTCCTGGGCAGGGAGCAGGGATCACTGGTGAATGCCTCTGCCGACACCTGCAAGGCCTSACCTGCAAAAGGAAGGCAAATTCCCTTAGGCTGAATCACAACACCCAGGGCAAAAGAAACTGCTACAATTCCATCAGTTATTTGGAAAGTCACAAGTACTACCAATAAATCTGGCATCTCTTTGTTGCCCTAAYGCCTTGAAATGAAGGTCAGTTATTACAGATGGTGCAGGTTAATGTTCCACATTCTCCACGATGTTCCCTTTCTATTATACTGCATCATTTAATTCTGAAATAATTCCCTTGGCCTTCAAACTATCACTCTTAACTGTACACAACAAACCCAAGGGCTTTATTTAAACCTGCCTACTCCCTGCTTGTTATATTACTATGTACTTTGGTGCCCTTGCTATTGAATAATTCCTAGTCACAGAAGGGAATCAAATATTGCTCTTCTCATTACAAACATAAGTTAATGGAATGAAAACCTCACACTCAAACATCTGACTGACATRAAGTGAAATTTGTGCCATGGAGCTAGTAACTGCAAGTAGGCAGCAATATACAGCTCTCCAACATGAAGTTTGGTAAATGAAATGTAATAGTAAGGACAACAGTGATAAACACCATAAATACCTGAAGGGAGGGTAAAAAGAAGATGAATCTGGCCTGTTCTGAGWGGTGCCCAGGAACAGAGTGAGAACCAATGAGCACAAACTGACACACAGGAGATTCTATGTAAGGATCCGAATTTTTTTTTTCAGTGGGAGAGTGATCCAGCAGTGGCATGGGCTGACCAGAAAGGCTGTGGAGTCTCCACTCTGGGAGATATTAAAAACCTGACTGGACACAGTCCTGGGCAGGACTCCTGCTGGCCCTGCCTGAGCTTGGGCATCAAACCAGATGACCTCCAGAGATCCCTTCCACCTTCCAACATTCTGTGATTCTGTGAGCAAACAATTCAGAAGGGTCTGAATATGACCATGTCCTTAGAAATGATTGTGACTTCAGCTGGGATGGCCAGAGGAACAAGTATAAAATCACAAYCCTAAGATAGAGCTGAGATGCAGGCCAGGCAGATAGGAGCTACAAGTACGAACAGCAGAAAATGACAGCTCCAACAACGTGATGTTAAAACTTTCCTAAACTGCAGCWGACAGCATGACAGTCTGATGCAATTTCATCTATTTTTATTGTAATTCCCATCAAGTGGATATTCTTCCATAATTACATTTGTCACAAACAATCAAACACAAAAAATGCCCTTTTAGTGGCACAAATAGGGATTCAGAAAGACAGCAGTATTCATAGTATTTCAATTATTTCAGACAATCAAACAAAAAGCAATTCAAAGAACCAAAGCCAGGATATATCATAACYATACAATTACTGTCAGGCAGATATTTCCAAGATTGTGTTCAGCACACCCAGATAGATGACTCCCAAAGTAAATGGTGTTCCACTGTCATCTGATGAGCTACTGACAGCTACTGCTATGTCAATTGTCTGCTACTTACGCATGTGCTTACAAAAATCTTCTTGCTCAGATGCAAGAAACTTAAAAACACTGTTGAGCCACAGATAATTTTTTAAAAGTTAGAGGATTCAAGCACTTTGTCCAGCACCAAAAATATAAAAGAAAATTACAGCAGAATTCCTTTAAAAACAAGTCAACTGTGAGCCAGTTGGCAATTAGCTGAGAGCTCGTGCCAGGCTGTGTCTGTACAGAGACTGCAACAAYGCCACCAACTGCAGGCAGTGAGCACCCCTCAGAGACAGTGCTCAGCATCGCAGTGACAACAGCCAAATGCTCTTCATTGGTTTAGGCAAGAGCAACGGAATTATGCTTTCTTTTATTTCTTTGAATAGATGGTTTTTTTCCTTTCTAAATCTCATCCAAGCTTCACATTTTTCTCTCTTCTTTATATTTACAACTGGCTTTCTCCTCTCATTTTTTTAACTGCAGCAGTGTGAAAGGCACATGGAATGCAGTGAATTTTGTGCCATTCTTGTGTCCTCCCACAAGGAGATGTGGTTGCCAAGAAAGTCCTGTCACCCACTCGTGAACTGCACTATTAGAGGCTGATGGATTTACAGTTCTGGAGACTGTAACACAGTTGTTAATAGGAGTTCATTAAGTGGTGGACAGACAGACCCAAATAAGTAAAAAGAGTATTTCAAACATTCAGTCTCAAACTTGAGAGAACAAAAATACAAACCAATAAGAAAAATCCTACAATGGTTTATATTATAATATCCTAGAATAGTTTGGGTTGGAAGGGACCTTACAGRTCATCTAGCTCCAATCCCTCTGYCATGGACAGGGAMACCTTCCATTAGACCAGGCCRCTCCAAGCCCCATYCARCCYGGCCTTGAACACTTCCAGGGATGGGRCAGCCACAGCTTCTCTGGRCAATCTGTGCCAGGGCTTCACCATTTTCATAGAGAATAATTTCTTYYTAATATCTAAYCTRCATCATCACCCTCTTTCAGTTTAAAGCTTTTCCTCCTTGTAGGAATTCCCTCTCCCAAACCTCTTGTAGGTACTGCTCAGGTTCTGAAAGGCAATAACGTCTCCCCAGACTCTTCTCCTCAGTCTGAACAAGCCCAGCTCTCTCAGCTTGTCCTAACAGGAGAGGTGCTCAATTCCACTGATGATCTTTGTGGCTCCCCTGGACTGGCTCCAACYGGTCCATGTCCTTCTTATGYTRAGAGCYCAAGAGCTGACTASAGTATTCCACATGGGGTCTCACCAATATTAGAACTTATTAACTCTTATTTACACTAGTATTTGTAACCTCAAATTCTGCAGGCATGAATGTACACACTWAGCAGAAGAAGAACCAGAGAAGGTTAGGAGTCAAGGTCATACCAACAGCACAAAACAACCTACCCCTACCAAAACACAAGATTAAACAATACTAGTCACCAGTATAATCACCGGTTCTGTTCYTACAAATACCATCTCCATCTGCTACAGAAATAAAAGGATTCTGCTTCAGCCAGACAGCTGAAGCAACACTACCAGTGKCAGGGCACAGCAGATCAGTAGCTTCTGCATGTTCCTAATACTCAACATGGTGATAATTCAGACTCTCACAATAGCTTTCTGGAGATGTTACAGGACATTTCTCTCCTGCCACACAGTTTCTTACCCCATCAGATACCACCRTATTCTGTTGCATTGCAACTATTTCACTGCTGCATACCAGGAAGTGCCACTTCCACATCTCATCCAGTTCTTCCTAATGTGTAATGAGAGCCACCACACATCCCCATCATGCCTTACACCCACCTCTTCATTCCCCCTTTCCCACTCAGGGACACCTGATCCACTGATGCTGATGTCAAAAGCTTTTCTACCAGGGGTGTGCTCTTGATTTGATGAAAAGCATGCACAGCACAGATTATTTTAAGCCATTTAAGTTCTGCCTCCCAGAATGGAAGTCCCTCAGATGCAGAACACACACACGCACCTCTTAATTAAGAATGAGAAAATTTTAAGGTGAGGGAAGGGACAAATAAGAATACAGCATAGTACAAAAGATCTCTATACCATTCCTTTAGTAAATGTCCTTTAAATAAGCTCTCCACTTCTTGCCAGTGAATGGTAGTTTCTTTCATGCCATCACACTCTTGCCAGCCCTGTTTAATATCAAAAGATATTAAATATGGCCATTCACAACATCAAAGTATTTGCTATAATTTCCTTTTAAAGAGTAATTTAAGGCTCAAAATATAACTCCAGCAAGTACCTTGCTTTCAATTCACTGTTCTGTGTGATGACAGGCTTATCTGGGAACACACTTGAGCATGATAACAACTAAACACAAGAAACACTGACACTGTAATAGATAGAAACAAGGCAGACAACAACTGTTGTGTTTCTGACTATATATAGTCAGTGAGCAATGGCAGTAAATACCAAACATTTCAGCTATGCCCATGCAACTGTTTGAGAACTGTAAACCATCACACCTTGACATAAATGCAAAACCTCATTAACATAAGGATAACACTAGACTTCAGATTCCTATAACAATTCACCACAGAAACAACATCACTGTTTTGTCTTAAAATTGATTAAATCTCAGAATCAGAGGCTGCTGTTCAGTGTCAGAAGCATTCAGGGTCGAATAATGCTCCTGATACCCTTTGCACAGGGGCCAGTTTCTCACAGTACATTGAATGAGGAGCAAATCTTTTGAAATTCTCTATACACAGGAAATCTCTCAGTGAGAGTTCTTCAATACACTTAATTTGGGGTTTATTACACTATTTGAGAATAAAACTGTGCACATGAGTACCCTTTAACAAAGCTTCACCAATCAGATCAACAGGAAATCATGGCAGTTCTTCACTTACTAGGGCAGTGGATTTCTGGATGATGCACACAGTGCACMCCCACACCCCTTCCTGCTGACCAATTTAACAGAGTTTCAGAAGAAGATATATCAAAATGTTGATAGGCCTTCAAAAGTACTTTATTGAGAAGAGACAAAGAAAAACATGAAGCACCAGTGTATTAAAATGATCAGGTCCAAGAACTATAAACCTTTGCAAAGGAAGCAGACACATTTATCCAGGGATAAATCCCTAGATTTAAATTAAAAATAAATACTCTATGCTATAACATGCATGGTAAAGGACTGCATGCAACCACAGTTGATGACCCACATCCTTTCAATGAACTTGAAGTAAATTACATAAGACATTTATACATCAGCAGAATGTGGCCTGAAAAATAGGCAATAGTTACATATGATGGGGCATACAACAAGTTAAAAATAGCACACATCCTGAAAGGCTAAAAATATCTGCAAAATTAACAAACTGCTATGTTTTCTATAATTTTTCAACCATTTTTTAAGCTAACTTGTGCAGTTTGGCAAATCCTTGAAGGGAGATGGGTTGCAACCACTCACTTCATCATTGCATAATGATAGGTGATAACATGGACTTACCTTTCTTTTAAAATGTATGAGTTATATATAATCTACTTTACGTATTATTTATTTTTGTAGTTATCTCTGGTCTTGGCTGAGAATCAATAAGTAATATAAAAATATTTCACMTTTTCAATTTCTCTGTGTATAAAAATCAATGTAAAACTATACATTTTATTCTTGCCTTCTKTTATCAGCCTGTAATGGATGGGCTAACATTTTAAGAGTACTCCAAAATGAATGATTTTGCAAGAGCCTCAGCTGCTCACTGTGACAGATAACAGTGATACTTGCTGGTCATAATGCTTTTAATCACAAAAGACCTTAAGATATCTCAGACACCACATGCATAGATCAAACTCTAAACCACAGCCATCTCTGGATTCAGAGGAAGCCAAGAGCTACTAATCACTGTCCTGAAGAACAGCAGAGACTCAGAAACCACCCCAGCACTTTGTGCAAGGCGATCAAATATAACAAAACTGATTACATGAAAAAATCTGTTTAAGTTCCATCCTTAGTAGGAGCAGGGTGACATAATTAAAACTTACATCAACTTTAATTTTTGATTTCTGCAGGAACTCATTTAGGATGTTGGTCATCTGACTTATCACTATTTGACCTTGGCCTTCGTGTTCACCCAAATATTTCCAATTTCCATGGGGAAAGTCAAACTCAAGAAAACATCAACCAACCTGAAAGAAAATGGCTAGACAACGTTCTCTGCAGATCACCAAAACTATCCCTGTTGTGGAAATCTGGTTCCAAATGGGGACATCAGTGATGAGGAAACAGAATATGACACAACTCACCAAAGAAGAGCTGCTCTGTCATGAGGGGATGACTCTCACATTAGCTGAAAGGTTCCATCTTCCTCCTCCTCTCAAAATGTACCTCCACACTGGACTATTATACCTTCCCAAATTAAATCCTTACTAATTCACAGAAGAGGGAAGATTTTAGGTTTCAAAAATTTAACTAAATAGCCTTAATCTGACATTCAGGTAAACAGTTCTTTTCAAGAAGAGCATTAAAAGGTACATTAACCTTAACTTGTGCTTAACAGCCACTAAAAGGATCAAGAGGCATCCTGTCCTCATTGAAAGAGAAAAACCCAAGCATTTCAAACAACAAAACTTCCACTGACGTAAGCTGGGGCCCAGCTTGCACATGTTAGCTCCCTATCCGTGCTACCCCAGAATATACAATTAGACAACTCCAAGTTCAGACATTTGCACATCACAACACATTTCCCATGATATTCCAACTTCATTTTGACACCAGTTATGGTTAAAGCAATTCCTTGTTGTTGTCATGTACTTACTCTCTTTCCGCACATCAGCAAGAGCTGCATGAAGTTCCTCTTTAAAAATAACTGCTTCCTTGGCAATTTTTTCCCCCTTGTCCAACAGATTCCAAGTGGCTTCTTCCACAGAAGCAAGCAAGACACGAGCTCTTTTGGAACGGCCCTTTTTCTTACTAGAAGGATTCTGTGGACAATTCACCAGTGTGGTAACCTACATTTAAAAGAAACCAAAGATGCAATAATGTTTTAAGCTTTGCAAGTGAATTTAAATTGTTGTCAAAATGAAAAAGAAAATATAATTAAGAATAAGTAAAGAGATCCCTTCTACTTTACAGACAGACAAGCTTGGTATAAATACCAAGAATGGGCAAAACTACTGAATTCAATCTGATACAATTTTATTCAATGTGTCATCTTTGTGCTCTTCCCTCTGTAGGATCAAAGCAAATCAAATAGAAATCTCACTGTTCTATTAACCCAGATGCCAACTCCTGACACTGCTTATTTTAAAATCTACTCTTAATTTATTTTTTTTTTAAATATACCAGTGCTATCTGAGGAGGCTTCAGCAAGGCAGGAATCATGGGACCATTAAGGTAGGAAAAGACCTCCAAAATCGAGTCCAGCTGTCAAGCTAACCTTTCCAAGTGTACCACTAAACCATGCCCCTAAACACCATATCCACATATTTTTTGGGTACTGGCAGGGAGAGTGACTCCACCATGCCCCTTGGCAGCCTGTACCAATGCTCAATACTTCTTTCAGGGAAATAATGTTTCTTAATTTTCAACAGAAACTTTCCTTGGTGCAACTTGAGGCCATTTCCTCTTGTCCTAGCACTTATTACTTGGGAGATTAGACTGACCCCCACCCAGCCACAACCTCCTGTCAAGAGTTACAGAGAGTGAGAAGGTACCCCCTGAGCCTCCTTTTCTCCAGGACAAGCCCCCCCAGCTCCCTCAGCTGCTCCTTGTACAACTTGTGCTCCAGGCCTTTCCCCAGCCCCTTTGCCTTTCTCCAGACAGGCTCCAGCACCTCAATGCCCTTCTTGTCACAATGGGCCCAGAACTGACCACAGGACTCGAGGTGTGGCCTCACCACTGCACAGTCACTGCCCCAATCCTGCTGGCCACACCATTTGTGAGTCAGGCCAGGATCCCACTGGCCTTCTTGGCCACACACTGGTCATGTTCAGCTGTTGATAACCAACACTCTCAGGTTCTTTTTCCCCCCAGGTGTTGGATTTTCCCATACTTCCAGTTGAAGTTTTCCAAGATATCTCAGAAGCAAGAACCAAAATGAGTACAGACACCTTTCGAAATGCTTTCTCTTCTTGCAAAGGAGTATCACAGGGGCCAGAACTCAGCACCTCCAAATCCTTCAGGGTGCTCTCAACATTAAAATTGTACATAAATTTGCCCAGAATTTAGGTTTACTGCAGTTTTGTCCAAATTGTATTTTTACCAATGCACTTGGACATCCATAAAGGACTTATTTTTATAGAGCATCCCACTCCACATTCCTCATCATCTGAGTACAGCCTCCACCCTCCAACAGAATTTTTCTGAAAGGCTATTCTCTAAGGCATTGCTTGAGTTGTCACACTAGGGAAAGACTCCTGAAACACTTTTTTCTAAATGTTATACATTAGACATTTTAAAGCATACTTTATTTTCATTAAGTCCACTGATGTTTTTAATCCTCCTATTCTGTTCTCTCTGTCAGAACATGGGTAGTACCACACTACATGTGCCCTAGCTCACCTTCAGATCTTGTCCAGCAATTCATGCACTTGAGTAGTTTTCATGAACTATTACTTCTAAAACAAACATGCCTCCTCTGGGTAATATTTCTATAAAAACATCTATAAAAGATAAAAGCCCTGACCCCTGCATCATTCATGTGCAGTTTGGGGGAAAAAAGGACTATCCACTTAACATCAACTGCTTTGGCATGTCACATGGGTGAGAGAAACATAAGCAACTCTGAATCAAATTGTTAGAGAAGGCATGGACATTTTTCTGACTGTGGCTCAAAGAAGAAAATAGAATTATTTACTGCACATAAATCAGCCAGCTGGTAGAGAATGCATTGGGAATAAAAATCCTTATCTTTTAGTTTTATAAACCCTCTCATGTCAGTTTTTGGAACACTGAATGCAATTTCAATGATCATATCTTTGAGAATGACTTAGAGATTACAGGCTGATACTTTCAACAAGAAAGGCATAAAACACCATCAAAAACAAGAAGCAGCCCCTAACATCTATCATGTAAAAGGTATTTTTTAAGTCTTTAGTTTTAATCACTATTTCACTAGAAAATAATATATTCTACTTCACAGATTTTCACTGTGGTTTTTTTAATGTAAAATACCATTCAATGTACTGTTCATTCATATGTTCAAAAGGATAGGAAACAAATGAAAGAACATAAAAAATAATAGTTCGTGCAGGTGAAAATTCTTGACTGTAAGATCCTTTATCTTCAGCATTACTACCAGGAAATATTGAAGGGAGCATCTGACCTCAAATACTTGTCAAAATTTGTTAGTTTTTTGCTCATGGAGATTACAGTAAACAAAAAAACTGCTGTGAATTCTCTAACATAGAACCCAAATGAGGAATGAAAAAATTTTCTGCAGATCCTACACAGAAAGAATTGAACCACAGAGTAACCAATGCAGTGTGCCCTTGTCAACACAGCATGTGGCAGAACAAGATATTATTATAAGAAAATAATATCGAAAAAAACGAAAACATAAGAAGAAAAAACGAAAGAAAAAACGAAAACATAACCCCATCAATCCTGCTCATGCTGGCTGCATTTCCCAATTATTAACACCTTCTTGTTGCCATTTACAGCAGATCCCCCAGCCTATCTCTGGCAGGAGCAATAGTCTTGCTAAAGGCACAAGGGGTTTTTAAGCCATTTTCTAGGCCACATGCCACCACGTTTACGAAGTTGAATCACATTGTTGTTGTTTGTCATTGCCATTACTTATTAGGCTGAAGGGGTGGGGTTTTTTGTGAGGTCATGGTTATCCTAAACAATGAGCTTTTAGGAAACTGTGAGGCGCTTCTTCCAACACTGTGTTCAGTTACTGGCAGCTCTTAAGAGGCAATCTTTTAATAATGCAGTAGATCAGGAAGCAATGTCTTGGTACCTTAAGCATCAAAATATGTAGTTCACCTTTATCTAATATAAAAAGAATTTTTTGGCATCAATCATAAAACATTCTTTTTTGTTAAAAGCTACATTCAGTGTAACCAGATGTTAATCCTTAGACATTTAAGAAAAGCCAGACATGGATTCAGTGATCTAATAACAGCAGTAGAATTCCTGTCCACTGTTCCAAATCCAAAGTGTTGTCCATACATATAAATACTGGTTAATCCCATCCAGGGTGCAGAAGGTAAACTCACCATATGTTAGATTAAAACCAGCAATGTGTGTTTTCTCGTGAGCAAAGGTCTGTGGTGTGGATGCCAGGTGGGAATACAAGCCTTTCAAACTGCCTGCTTTCCATCAGTGATCCAAAGGACTCCAAAATGTATGGATGTTTCTACACATTGTGTTAGCTCAATCATGCTATCTTTGACAACTACCTTTTTTTAATATGCCAGATGCATTCATAGAGAACTTGACTGAGAAGCCTTCCTTTCAAATCTAACATCCTTCAAGCACCTGGAATAAAATAAGGGCCACAGACAGAGAGAAACCCTTGGGTTAATTTATGGGTGCTGTTTTATTCCAAGGATAGAGAAGTTGCCAAGTCACAGAGGTTTTACACAACAGTGTAACATACTGTTTTCAGAGCTTCACAGTAATCACCACTGCCAATAGCACATTGCAGGGAAGAGAGTCAATCTAGCAAAGTAACTTGAAGCTATTTCCACAGCTACTTCCTAGGCTGGTTTTGCCTTAATTTTTATCAAGATTGATGCTTTGAACCCAATGATTGCCCTAACTCTTGGAATAACTGAATAGGACAGACTTCAGGTTTGAGAGAGGTTCAGAGAACCTCAAACACATTCATTGTTTTTTTTCCTGCCACAGCATTACAAGATTATTAAATAAATAAATCACAACAGAAATCTCAAAATGAAGTTCAACTATGTTCCAAGCAGCAGTTGCTAAAGTGGATCTGCCAAGAATATAATTTCTGTCTGTGACTGGTCTGATTATCTTGCTAATCACAGATTAGTTTTCACTTATCTTTCCAGTCTCTCAATCACCCTTCATTGAATATTAGCTTTAATCCCTATTTTTACATTTTCAGCATTTTCTGTTGAAGAATTCCCCTCAAAACATAAGTTTTCCTTCCTCAGTCTGAAACAAGCAAAACATTAAGAGAGTGAAAAGACAGTCAAAATCATATTCTCTTAGAAGCAAAGCATTGACAATTTGAACAGCCTCAAGATTTTCAGTGGCTGAAAAGAGCTGGGAGGGGAAAAAAAAAACCAAAATTTCAATGATTTCTTGGATTTATGGAACTGTACTTTGTTTTGTCAAGTTGCTTTGATCCTGCAAAACTCAAGCCAAAATCCTCTAAAAACACCCACAGTGTTGCTGTTGCCTGAGCACAGTCTGAGCTACTGGCCTACAAGAGGTTTTCAAATGCAGTCTATCAAGACATCTATTCTTACTACTTGGAAACTAATTTGATAACCCATCCACATATCCTGCTCCAGCTTGACAATGTCCATAAACCACTGACCTGGTAACTGAGAGTTTTTATACTATCAGTCACATTCAGGCAAAAATAAATAAAGGCAGACAAAATGGGAGACAGGCAGCTCAGTTAATAACAGCTGGAAATAAAGCCCTGCTAAAAAAGAAAATGTTACTTTCTGAAGAAAATAATCTTCCAGAAGGGAAATATTAGTAATGGAGAAAAAGAACAATAACAAAAAAAAAAAAATCAAATATGATAATAAAAGAAAAGAAATTGGATGAGTTATGGGAGACAAAGCTTCAAATGGGGAAAACACAATTTTCTCTTTTAAAGAATTACTTATTTCATGCATTGGAAATCCCTTTGCAGTGTATTCTATATTTAAACATCCACTAGATAACACTGTGCAAGACACCAGCTAGAATACCAACATTTACTAGGACAGACTGGATGGCAAAGTTGGAAGTGACCAAAGGAACGACCAAATCTGGAAGACAGCAGATAGCCCAGGAGAGCTCCTGAGCCAGAGTAAAGCACAAGTGCAGAAGAGCTGTGGGTGTCCCCTTCAGAATAATGTTCTCAGTCAAAATTCTTCAGCCTTAGTCCCTTCCCTCTGTGGTTACCCAGTTTACTTTCTGCAACTCTAAAATACCTGAATTATCAATGGTTCCAGTAATTTCTCCACTGTATATGTCTGGATCTGCAGATTCCGAGGATCAATTTTCAGTCTAATGTTTGGCACTTTTGTTGACATTTCACCTGGGTGCAAAACAAGAGAAGTGCAATAAGCCAGTATGAACCATGAATACAAGTTTCACTGCCTTCTGTCAGAGCCCAGAGACTGCCTGTGTGAGTACAGACTTGTGTCGTAACAGGCTTAGGATTTCAACTAATACCATTAATTTTTCCAATTCCCCACTTTTAAATTCTGGGGAAAAAAAAAAAAAGTCTGATAATCACATAAACTGTAAAATTGTGGACTTAAAGTACATAAAACTTCTTATCCTCACTCACAGATTTATACATTAACCACAAGTTAAAAAATGCAAGGATAATTTCATTAGAATCCCATTGAATAAAAGTTCTCTACTAGTCTAAAAAGGAGCTTTTAAAGCAAAAATATTAAATTCCATTACTGAATTTATCACAAACCAAAAACATTAATGCTATGTACACAATACTTGCATCTTACTCCAAGTGCCAAATTACAGGGGTTATATCTATACAAAGAACATGTACAGTAGCCTTTAAATTTTCTAGAAATTAATAGCAGGAAAGAGTGAAATATTTTGTTATTTTATACCCTGCAATAACAAATATTTTCTAAGGGTCAAGACAGATTAAGTTGAGAAAGCCTGTTACTGAAGTCAATAAGATGGAAGTAAACCTAAGTAAGCTCTTTAAAGTGAATAAATCCTTCATTAGGAATTTGATGCAAAATCTACTGATGTGAATTAATAGTTTTCACCAAATCACTGTGCCATGGTTCAGGCCATTAGCCTGAAATGTGTGTGTGTCAACAAAGAATTATAACTGCTTTAGTTGGAATGCAACTGATTATTGTCCCAAAATAAAAGACATTTTAAATTTTGCAATAACTTAACTTCCCATAAAACACAGCTTGGCAAACACTTTTTAGCCAATAGAGACTTCAAATACACAGATAATGGATATCTGTTCTTTTTAAGCAAGATTTATTACAGCCATTGCTGCTGTATAATAAAGTAATAAGAGACTGCAACTATGCAGGCTGAAGAGATATATTGTCACCTTCCAGTGAACCTAGCATTGATTCAATACAACACATTAGGTTTAGGGTTTCTATAGCAAGTTGTGTAGAAATGATCTGGAGAGTTATCCATATTTCACTTACAAGCAAAGATAATATAAGCAATAATTAAAGAATTAAGGTATAAAGCAATTAAGGGGTTTGCCATTCTTATTAAAGGTTACAAAAGTGCCAAGCTTTTCTTTTATTACAAACTACACTAGTGGCAGACCTAAGTTCCTATAAATTCAGCTGCATTCAGCCAGGTGAGAGCATATGTAAAGAACTCATTTTTCAGTTTTAGTTCCAAGCCAAAAGATAAAGAGAAACTTGAGATCAGACTGACCAGAGTAACACTCTTCCTTCCACAGAAATGAAAAATGGAAACAGAACTGTAGAAATGTCAAAGCAAATTATCTGACCATATTTTATACATTTAACATTTAGATACTATTTACAAGGAAATAAAAGTAGAGATTCCCAAAACTGGAAGTGTCAGTGGTTCTCTTTCTGTCCAGTACTAATAACTTGCTCTGAAAGCTGCTGATGTCTGTCATTCGCACACTTGCTGTCCTAAGAGAGCTTCAGTCCCAAAGCACATTGTCATTGAACTGCCTCCCCTCTGTGCCTGCACCTCTGGTTGTCCAGCAGCGCTGCCAAACACTGACTCGTGGCTGTGCGCGCTGGTGCAGTCTGTGAACACAGCAGAGAAGCTCCTTTGCTTCTTCTGCTGTATTCACCCCTGATTCAAAAAGCCTTTTAATTCAACAAGATACTGTCCCCTCCAGTTTCACTGCGATTGCATCAAACCATATCATGTCACATTGACAAAAGACAGATCMTTTTGTACCACCTGCAATTCACTGGTTTTCTAAATCTTCGGCTAATATGTCAATGAATCTGCTTTTTAATCACATTACAAAAAAGAAAAAAATCTTTATGATGTTGCTGGTTACCAACCCTTATCTTCCACATGTTCACAAGCCTCCTAAAATACAGTCACTTCTTGAAATCCATCACAACAGTTGCAAATAGATGGTATTGATTGTGCTGTGAATTTTTTCTGGTCAAACATACATCAGTGGCAAGGGGACAGGCAAACTGGATGGAGATTGCACTTTGTGTTTTTACTGAGGTCTGAAGAAATCACTAAGTGACTCAGGTTATTTTTTTGCAGATACCCTCACGTTTCAACTTTGAAGCAGCTTTCCCTTAATTCCTTGAGAGAAAGGTGTCAGCAACTACCTTATTCAAAACAGAGAAATTAAAGTTTTGCTGCTTGCTCTCCATTCTCACAGCACAATTTCCTATGCAACATGTTACCTGCAATGATCAGGTCTTTTCTAAAATTTGGCAGATAAACATGCAGTTGTAAATAAAGTCAATTCCTATTCCTAGAGGGCCCCTGTGCTCCAGAATCACACCACAGGGCACTCTCAAACCAGGAAGTGTTACAAACCCAATCCCATTTTTGCAGGTCAGAAAAAATGTGAATCCATGTGTCGTGACTTTCTTTCCCTTTTCTGGATTGTTCTGGGTTTTTGCTTGTTTGTTTGTTTTTTACCCTTAGCATATTGCCGAAGATCAGCATTTTTATTCTTTGCTTGAGCCCTGAGTTCAAAAGCCAGATAAGCCAATAATAGCTTTTAGCCTTGAGTCGGGCCCATAACGAATCATCAACTGAAAGTCAATTGCAAAAACWATTGTCTCTGAAAATTTCAATTATACTCTAAGGTATAAATAATTCACTTAAGGGCTCAATTGCTGATTCCAGCAATATTTTCAAAGTACAATTCTAATGCTTCCTGAAACTTCCTTAAAGCAGGCAAAAGAAGGAAACAATTTTGCAAGCCCTTGAAGTGCAAACTGTAAGATCTTAAATTACTTTGATACTCTGACCACATATTTTTAACTTACTAGCTTCTCCTTACTATTATATACCATATTAGCTAATATTTTAATTAGATTCTTTAATTATTTTTTTAATTAAGGCAAGGGTAATAGGTGATAGAAAGAAAAATACACAGCCAGTAAAGATCACCCTGGGTTGTTCTCTGACATTTCCACTCACTAAGTGAACTTCTGTATTTTCAGATCCTATTCATTAAGGTGACAGAATTTGATGTTTGCCTCAGGAAAAAAAATGAAAACCAACAGTCCACCTTTTTTTTTTTTAAATGCATTTGTATACTACATTATAACATCCCCCTAATTACAGCAAGGGCCTTGAGTGTGAGATACTTTGGTAAAAAGCTGTATAACCTCATACTCAGTTAGATTAACCTTTACAGGAGGCAATCTCAGCACTGTGCACCTGCAGCTCTTACAACACTTAGGATGTTAAGCATGTGTTACAAGAGGGAGCTGTGTCCCAGAACAGCCAGAAAAGCAGCCACCTGCACACTCGTACCATTGYTATGAACCTTAAGACAGTGAAAAATTTGTCTTTTCAGCAGATATATCTGAATTGTTGAGTCTTTTGGTGCAAGAACAAAAAGACACTGGAAAAACAGTCAAAGTCTATTTCCACCTACTATGCAATGGGAACACAGCACCTGCAGCTTTTAAACAAGCTATAAGTACACTGCATACAGACAAACTAGTAAGTGTAAGAAAGCAGAGCCAAAGACATTCTGCATAAATCAGAAAATATTTACTTTAGAATCCATTTCCTGCTAGATTGTTAGAAAGCCAACAATGTATCACTCACCTATCCTAGAAAATACATGGTCCATATTCAGCACTAAAGCAACTGTCTATGTAATTGCCTCGTGTTAGGAACTTCAGTGCAACTGCTTTGGCTCACTATTGGGCTTCTGAGGCATCTGCAAGGGACTGCCTGACAAGCTCTCCAGTGTATTTCAGGATGACTGACAGGACACAGTGGCTGCTGCGGGGAGAGGGGGGTGGCAGGGGGATGGGCATCCTTAAAGCTATATAGTAGAGCATAAGCATGTCAAAAAAATTCAGAGCTGAAAAGGTTTTGAACAACTAGATGACATAAACCACGAAATTACTTATACTTCTAGTGATTGTTCTTGCAATTTTCAGCATAGCAACTGTTGTTTTCCCATACATTCTGATTGTATGCCAGCTTCAGTCTGGAGGCAGTGACTCAGGCTCAAACTGGACAGCAAAGGGATTCATAAGGCTCTCACCCAGGAACTTGGCACCAAATTTGTTTTCTCTGTTGTTTTTTACTATTGAATGGTACTCTACAATGACATACAATGTATTAACCTAGCAATTATAGAATGCAAAGACCTAAGCTTTCTAAAAAATGAAGAAATGTTAAAACAAGATAGCCAGGAATTGTATTTTTTACCAAGATACACATGGACAGGGCACCTGAGGATTTACAAGATATGCAACATTGCTGAGAATGTAATAGATTTTTTTTTATTATTTATTCTTCACTTCAGTATTTCCTACACAGATTCATTAATTGGTACCCACACCACTCTGGGAATAAAATTYCTTAGCCCTTTGCTACAGAGTCAGTACAGTGAGTGCAAATCAGACTTCATAGAAGCCAMAGAAACAATTACTGCATTTTTTCTTTAATCCTCTAGCTGACACATGAAATAAGATATTCAGGATGCTAAAATGTTCTAGTTCAGGCACAGAGAAGTCCATGCTGTTGTATTACAAACAGAAGACCTGCTGTACTCYATAGGCCAGACCATGCTCTGGAACAGAGCAATATCTCCAACACCTGGGAAGGATCCATTTCACACCAGGGAAAACCCATAAGGCACCTGCTAAATTACTTAAATTTTTAGAGAAAGCTATCAGGCTGGTCTCTAACCATCTCAGATTCTATCACTTCTTACCACTAGCAACAAAAACCATGCTATTAATGCACAGACATCACAAAGGAGAGCTGAAGAAGGTKGCAAGATTCAGACCCATTAATAACATTTATTCACTGCAAGTTACTTTATTTAAACAGGTTTTGCATTTAGGTGTAGGTTTGCAAACTCTCT